TTCCTTTCTTCTTTATCCACCTCCCCAAGGAGAAATATGAGGTCCAAAGAATGTAATTTTGAGGCCTATCAACAAGAACAGAATTCTTGACCTGTAAATTCAAATCAACTGGAGATCTTTTTAAAATTACTGATATCTAGGCCTTGCTGTCAACTCATTAAATTAGAATCCTCGGGGAATGGGGCCTGGGCACCGGTGTCTCTTAAATTCCTCAGGTGATTTTTTTCTGGTCCTCTAAAGCTGAGACCCACCAAAAAAGAGGGGTTTTCTTTAGAGCAAACTTAAGCCTTCCAGAAACTGTCTTTACTTTCCTGGCAAAATAAAATTGGCTTTCCGCCTCTAATGAGGAAAAAAGGCTCAGCGAGGCTCGTAAAATGTGGGCTCGGAATATTTTGGAAGCCTGGGTGTCAAATGAGTCCGCGGGACTGGAGGCAGATGGGCACCCCGGCTGGGAGCAGTGCATCCGACACCGGAAGACGCCAGACCTGTGAGGAAAGATGGTCTGGGAACTTGGTCAGCTTATCCTTGGCCAGGAGTTCAAGTTTGTTCCCAGGCAGATGAAGGACTGGAGCCCGCCACTGATGCCGCGTGTGTTTCCCTCACTTGTCCATTCATTCCTTCGGCCATTCAAAATCAGCGTCTGCTGTTTGCAGGAATAGAAGGATGTGGCGGAGATTCTCCAGGCTCTGGGGTCAGATGGACCCTCCTGGCCTTGCCGCCAGCTACAGTGTGGCCTGAATTCTTTCACTGTTTCCAAAACTCTTTCTACACATCTGCTGTGAGCCGGGCAGTACGCTGCAGGGCTGGTGACAGGGCTGTTGACAAGTGGGTGGCGGCTCTAGCCCCGGGCGAGAAGACAATCACCGCGCAAACATCCCCTGTCTTGAGCTTTTTGCTCTTCGGTAAAATGGCTTTCTTGAGAATGAAATCACGGAATGTGAGACAACGCCTAGAACCAGGAAAAAACGCTCAGCAAATGGCAACTGTAACTATCGCGATTGGGCCCCAGCCTCCGGGAGCAGCTGGCACCTGCCGGCGAGCTGGGAGCACCTGGCAAACACCGAGGGCGTCAGTGGGCGGTTCTGCTGACTTCTCCACCTGCCTGTGGGGGGCCTGGTGAGATGAGAGGTACCCAGGTGCGGTAGGGAGGGAGATGGGAAGAGGGGCGTGTGGACAGGCAGGCTTGAGTCTGCAAGCGAGCGTGCGTGAACGAGTGAGCAGAACCGTGTGCGTGATCGAGACCCTCGTCCTGCCTCCCCAGATGGCCCTCACCCCACAGCCCAGGCTGGACGCTGTGGCTTTCAACCACTCACCCTGCCTCAGCTTCCCTGTGCACCCCCTCCCTCACATCCTCATCCTCCGCGACTATTGTAAGAGCCCCCCCCACCCCCACCCCCGTCTCCCCACTACCCTGGTCTCTCTGCTCCAGCCGGTTCCCTTGAATCCACTGACCGTGCTACTGTAGAAACATCAGATCCTTCTGAAATTTCGTTGTGATCTTGTCTGTCTCCTGCCCCCAAATCACCTAAAACAGTGATTCCTGTTGGGGGCCATTTTGGCCCTGCCTCCCAGGGACATTCAACATCTGGAGACATGTCTAGTTGTCATATCTAGAGGGACGGGGGTGCTGTTGGTATCTACTGGGCAGAGGCCAGAGATGCTGCTAAAATGCACAGGACAATCCCCGCTCCCCCAACATAAAACTATCTAGCCCAAAATGTCAAAAGTCTCGAGGCCGTGAAACTCTGGTCTAAAGGATAAAAAATGTAAGCCTTTCAGAATCTCAGGCTTTTCACAGCCGTCCTGTGCCAAGTGCATCCTCTGCCTCACCACACCCTGCTTGGGGCTCCTGGCAACGGCCAGCCCAGCCGCTTGTAATTCCCTAACCCTCCGAGGCTCTCATCGCTCTCAGCCTTGGAACTCTCTGTTCCTTTTTGCTTAGAACACACTTTCCGACCCAATTTGTCTGCCTTGCAAACTTCTTCTCATCCCGCTGGTCTCAACTCAAAAATGATGTCCCGCCTTCGGCCCCTTTCCTGTGCCCTAAGACAGTAGGAAAGAGAAATTGGAAGGGGAGGGGCGAGAAGGGGAGGAGAGGGGAGGAGAGAGGAAGGGAGGGAAGGGAGGGTGGCAGGGGCCAAGCACGTCTAAAAACATAGAGAACCAGAATTGGGCACTGAAGCCACCTGACTGTTCATTGTGCTTCTTCTCAAAGCTTTATGGGCCAAGTGTCGAATGGCATCAATCATCTTTTGTTCGATTTGACTATTAAAATCATGAATGAAAGGCACTGAACCAACCCATGATGGAAATACCCCCTAATGGGCCCGGGGCATCCCACGTGCAAGCGAAGTCCACTCTCAGGGCTGCGGTGGTTGTCAAGATTATCACATCGGTGGAAAGGCCAGGCTCCCGAGATGATTTCCAAGCAGAGAAAGGCAAAGCCAGCCTCCTCCCCTCAGCAGACCAAGCCTCGGGGGTGAGCGCACGGAGCTTGGGTTTGCTGGCATTTTCTAGCGGCTTAATGAAAATGAATCATCAGGACGATACGGCCCAGGCTTTCCAAGGTCTACGGGCCAAACGGGCTTAGTCCCTCACTTGACATTTAAGCGCAGGATGTTTGTGGTGGGGCAGAGTCTCTTCCCCACCAGGAACCGGCAGTGGGGGGAGGTTCTCTGTTGCTGGCGCATGTCCATCAAGGGTGCCCTGGTACAGATGAAGTTACAGGCATCGGAGTTTTTCTGAGCCACTGGGCGGTTTAGCTTCAGGCCCGGAGCCGGGAGAGAATAGCAGTTCTGTTCCCTCGAATGATATGTTCAATCCATCAGCTTAAATGAATACAAGATGGCAACAGAATTGGCCAACAGGCTCTGATTACAGAGAAACAGCTAAGCTCCTCAGGGTTGGCACTGGGAGTCCTACTTGATGGGTCTCCAGACTGAGAGAGGATAATGATTTTAAAGCAGAAACATTTGGATAAAAGGGCCATGTGCCATTGAAAGAAAAATCCAGAGGCCGCTCATGACTTAGTGACTGAGAAGCTCACAAAAGTCGGCTCCAGGTGAGAAAGAGATGCCACGGATGGATTCCTGTCTGCAGAGACACCCGCACGCCCGTCCCGGATACGCCCCATTGTGGACGAGCAGACAGGCAGGAGAGAGGCCTGCGTGTGGGGTGAGGGCCTGGACCCCATCCCGGCTCTGCCACTTACCTAAAACCCGAGCCTCCACATTCTTCTTTGTAAAATGGGAATAAGTTTCACCAACATGAATTCCGAAGACTAAATGGGACTCGGGTGTGAAGGGATGCGTGGTGTCCGGCCCGGCCCGTGGTAGCTACGAAGCCCAGGGGAGGAGGAGGGCTTGAGAGGAGAGAGAAGGGCAGGAGGAGACAGAGCAGAGCTCTGTAGGACAGAAGTCAGCCTCCCGTGCTCTCCCCACAGTGTCCCCAAGCCCCTTCGGCCATCTTTGTTCACCACATTCTTTCTTTGTAAAATGGGAATAAGTTTCACCAACATGAATTCCGAAGACTAAATGGGACTCGGGTGTGAAGGGATGCGTGGTGTCCGGCCCGGCCCGTGGTAGCTACGAAGCCCAGGGGAGGAGGAGGGCTTGAGAGGAGAGAGAAGGGCAGGAGGAGACAGAGGGAGCTCTGTAGGACAGAAGTCAGCCTCCGATGCTCTCCCCACCGTGTCCCCAAGCCCCTTCGGCCATCTTTGTTCGCCACATTCTGCTCGTAGCTAAGCCTGGAGGGAGTGTAGGGATAACCTGGGTCTCAACAGCCCAGCTCGCTTCCCTGCCTGCTGGGTGTCTGGGGCGGTTAAGACGTCAGAGGAGGGACCCAGTGATAACCGGATCGGAGGTGAGGCTCTCGTCTTCCATTACAGTTTGCAAGGACAAGGGTTTGAGCAAGATGGAAAATCGGGCTTTTTCTTTTCCCATGAGGTGAGAAAGGGGGAAGCCGGAACCTACTACGTGTGTGAGCAGCACCCTCGGCCTTCACGTGTCTGGTCCAAAACCGCACTCCTAACCCAGGAAATCCCAAAACCTCCACCCACAAGCGCACCTCTGAGGCGATGCTGCTTTAGGAGAATGAAGAAGGCTCTAGATTTTATTTTCCATGACACTGTAGGGGTGCCAGCCTGACCCCAGCAAGAGTCTCATTCTGACTGAGACAGGACAGTACAGTGGCGTCTTGAGACAGGAGCCCTCGATGCCTGACCCCAGCAAGAGTCTCATTCTGACTGAGACGGGACAGTACAGTGGCTGAGACAGGAGCCCTCGACCTTGGCTGGCTGTGAGAATCTGGGAGGAGCTATGCATAAAAGTCCCTGTGCCCGGGCTGCACGCTGACCCACGAAATCAGAATCTCTGTGCGCAGGGGCTGGGCGTCAATGTGTTCTGTCTGAACACATTGGTGGTACCAAGGTGCAGTCAAGGTTTAGCATCACTGGGCTAAGAGCATGGGCTTTGGAGCCAGGCTGCCTGAGTTCAAACCAACCTCAAATGCTACTTTCGCACTGTGTGACCTCAGACGAGTCACTTACTGCTTGTGCCTGCTTCCTCATTCATAAAGTAAGAATAATTTTAGACCACAGTGGTCAAGATTAAAGAACAGTACAGAAAAGGCACTTTGCACACTGGCTGGGACCTCATCTAAACTGGATAAATGTTAGTTGTGACTGACAGTATTTCTGAATAATAACAACCATTTTAAGGTTCGAATCCAATGGAACACAGAGGTTAAGACTGCGGGCTTTGGGGTCTCACTGCCAGGCAATGCTGGGTGTAGGGTAAGGAGACAGCTTCTTGGGCACACAGTGTAAAGAGGCGCTCACTTTCGGGTCCCCAAAAGAGCAAGCTGCCCTGGTCCAAGTCTCGGCTCTGCACTGTACTAGCTGTGTGGCCAAGGGCCAGTGATTTATGGTCTCGTCTGCAAAAGGAAGCTAATATTCACAGCCTCCCGGCATGTGCAACGAGGATAAGGGCGACAGAAACCTCATCGGCTTGGTGGGAGGCTTAAATGGAAGCAATACGTACAAGGAAGTTAGCAGAAAGCCTGGCGTGCATGGCAAGTGATTAGCTGTTCGTGCGATAGCGAAGAACACAGGAATGATGCTGTGGCTTAAAAAGACGCTCACTTTAAGTGACAGCATTGTCTCCGATCCTTTGGGGGCTGTAGACACATTTAGAATTCAATGATAACCATGGACCCTCTCCCCTAAAATTCGGAAACGCACATGCCTGCTAAAATCTATAGGAAATATAGATGGACACGGAAGGACACACAGGTCCAGGGTCCTGAGAACCCCAATTTCTTTGAGCCCCAGGAGGCGGCTGACTTTCCAGAAGCCACTTTTAACCACACCGAATCTCCTTGACCCCACTGCTCTGAGCTAGCGGGGATGGAAACGACCCGAAGTCACCTGTCTCTGGGTAACCGGGCCTCATTCCCAGGTCCTCAGCTTAGAGAATACGCAAGACTGAAGGATACTGACCCCAAAGGTTTGTTCTTTGTGAATTTCTCTTCTCATGCTCTAGATTTGCACTGTCCAATATGGTAGCCACTGGCCATGAGTGGCTATTTAAAAGGTAAGTTAATGAAATTAAATAAAATTAGAAGTTCAGCTCCTCGGTCATACTGGCCACGTTTCAACCACCCGATGATCACATGTGTTGAGTGGCTACTGGACTGGACTGGGCAGATACAGAGCGCTTCCATCAACGCAGAAAGTTTTACTGGGCAGCCTTGCTCTGGACCAGGGGTCAGCAAACCACAGCCCTCCCCCCACAGCCAAATCTGGGATAACTAGATGCCACATGGGGACTCTACGCTGGACCCTGGACCAGAAAGGCATGGTACTGGAAAAACAGGTGAATTCAAAAAAGGTCTTTAATGGGTTAGTTAATAGTATATCAGGAATAGTTTTCTGATCCAGTCGTGGTGCTATTGTTACCTATGGTGTCACAGTAGGGGAGGCTGGGTGGAGGGTATCCGGGAGCTTTATGTACAACTTGTGCAACTTTTCTGCGTCCAAAATTACTTCAGCATAAAGAATGACTTTTTTTAAATGATGTTCTGTCTTCCACCACCAGCCAGTGCCTCTCATGCATACAGGGTCCAAGAAATATCCCTGAGCTCGCTTACAAACTCCAGCAACTGAACCCCGTGGAAGCCCCAGAGAGAGAAAGCAGCTTCTGGGGTGGGCCAGACGACAGCTTCAAGATCAGACTGACTGCCGGCTGAGCCCCAAACGTCCCCCTGGCTGACTTCATCAGTTCTTGGGACACCTCCTCACAGAGGCCCTCCCTGATCACCTTTTCCCCCCACAATCACTTTCTACCACATTCTTGGTTTAAGAGCAATTATGCCCCCTAAAATGTGTTTTATGTCCACTCTTTCGTCTTGGGTCAGGCCCCTGGTGGCAGCTCAGTATACAGTGGCATGTCCCCTCCTCTCCTGTGGTTTCCTGAGCTTTGGGCTCAGGGCCGACGCAGCACAGGTCTCGGTGTGCCCCTGCGAACAGGATGAGTGCGGGATGACTTACTCGTAAAACTCTGCCGCCGGTGTGAACTTGTACTTGGAGTACTTGGTGTGGTTGCCCAGCACGGAGGCGTTGAGGAGCTTGGGGTCGGTGCAGTTGGGGCTGTTCCAGGCGTGGCCACAGTCAGTCCAAGGCAGGTTGAAGGTGAAGGAGGAGAAGAGGTAGTAGAGCGACCAGGCGATGATGACATTGTAGTAGAAGCCGACGTACAGGGCGATGAGGATCACGGCATAGCCAACTCCTGGGTGCGGGCGGGGGGTAGGTCAGGCAGGGGCTTCCAGGCTCACACCAGAGCCAGCTCTCCCGGGGAGCTGGCTCCAGCCACCCGACTCCAGCAGCAGATTGTCAGAGCCACAGCTGTACTCCCTAGTTGCCTGCCACCGCTTTACCTGAATGTGGTCTCTTGCCACTGGAGCACACCGGGCAGGCCAGGTGTGCCCGGACTTTAGTGCCCCCAGGAAGCAGGTGCATTGGGCAGTGGAGCAAAAGTATCCCCGCTCCCTTGCCCCCTGGGGGTAGGAGAACAGTGAGGCATATTAACACTCTCCCCCAGTGGGATTGAGCTCCTGGCCCATGGTGGATCTGGCTTATTGGCTGCGTCCCTGTTCCTCTCCCCTACTGGTGCTCCCTGGGATCACCTACCAAAATAACTCCTTACACTGAACTCCTTGTCTCAGGATCTGCTTCTGGGGAACCCAAACAAGCACTACCCATCAGGAATTCGGCCCTGTGTGAAGTTCTCTGGGTCCTATTTTCAACTACCTGCTTTATGTGCCAATCTCATCTTCCCGAATGTATCAGAAAAATGCTCCTTCAGGGCCAGTTCGATGGCTTTTGCCTACAGGAGACAGATTTTTTTTCCTGTGTAGCATTGTTCTAAGGGAGTAGCCTTAATCATTCTTAACATGTAAGGTTTGGATGAGGCTAATCCCTCCCTCTGTTGATCTAGCTGTAGGCACGTGACTCAAGCCTAACCAATCGGAGTTCGGCTTCTCTGTAGCTACAGTGATTGGTTGCTAGATGAGCATGTGACTCAAGTCAAACCAATGAGGGTCCTTTCTGGGACATTTAATAAAGCTATATAGGGCGGTTTTTTAAATTTCGTCATTGTTAAACTTGGTAAGATTTAATCTCGTTGCTGATGGCCAGCTCTGCTAGCACCTGAGAAGAATGCCTGAGACCGATGCTGACACTGATGAAAACAAACTTGAGAGAAATCAAGAGAGATTCCAGAAAACATTATTCAAGGACCTGGATCAAGCTATACCTGAAGCCAGTGAGAAACCCCTGGACTTTACTGTCTCATAAACCAATAAATTCTCTTTTATATTCAAGCCATTTTCAATGGGATTTCTGGAAATTAAACAAAAAGTTCCTAACTAATACATGTGTCTTAGAAGCCTCCAGCCTGTATCTACTACATGACTAAATACGTAGAAGGGACTCAGAGACTCACGCCAGCTGAGAAGAGGCTCGCAGGAGTCACACTGGTGCTCAGTGCCATCTGGACCCAGTTCCCTAACAGTGCTTGGGAGACACTAATTCTTACTCCACACCCTTCTGACAGCTGTATAGGGGCCAATAAATGGCAGTCACTATGGCCACTTTCTCCAGATGCATCCTACGTCCCGAATGCAAGCTTCATCTTATATCCCAGCTGTGATCAATTAGTTGTGGCTGTTGCATTAAGGACTGTGAGGCAGCTTTCTGGCTGAGCCCACAAAGGTTTATAATGACTTTATCACATCTGCCGTGGGAGCAAGAGGGGAGAGCAGTGGCCTGTGAGCTGGGTACTTCTAACACGTCTGTATTTTCCATAGAAGAAACAGACACCCGCTGATCACTCAGCTACAGAGCCTGGATTGGACCCCAGGTTTCCATACTTTCTAGGCTGAAGCTATTCCTGAAACATTGAATGCTCTCCAAGTAATTTTAAATGGTGGACATGCTTGACCTTGCCAATAGCTGGTCGACCTCAGATCCCACCCGTGGAGCAGATTCTCCAGGGGCACCAAGGAAGTCTCTCTGGACAACTTTTGACTCTCCCAGACCCATTTCTTTACCTTTGAAGAATGGGCAGATCTTCCACACTGTGGCCGCCCCTTCTCGGTTGTACTGGCCCAGAGCCAGTTCCATGTAGAACAGA